AACACAATGGTACTTTTTGCGTGCGTGCGTGCGTGCGTGCGTGCGTGCGTGCGTGCGTGCGTGCGTGCGTGCGTGCGTGCGTGCGTGCGCGGTCATGTGATGATAGGAGCTACGCGACATCACACATACAAAGAAGTGCTCCTGCCAGCAGATCACATCCTCAGCGGCACCGGGATAAAGCGGCTCTGCAGTGGATGATTTAAGAGCTGGTTGAAGCAATCAATATTTCAGCAGATATGAAATCTAGAAACGCCATCCGGGGTGTATTTCAAATGATGTGAATCTGGGCGGTAGAATAAGCGCAGTATAAATCATTAGCTGCTCAGCCTGTTGTACTGTAGCTTACAACTTTGTATGAAAGTCTGTGTGTGTGCCTGTGTGTGTGAGAGAGAGAACATATTGTATAGGGTTGAACCAGGATGAACTCCTTAACAGCAATAGTTATCAGCAGTTTATTATATGTTTAATATTGCAGTGTTCCTGCTTGATAACACTTTCAAAACACATAGTTTCTATACTACCATCACCACTACTATATATCTTCAACTGCTGTCATTAGAAATGTAGATACAAAATTAAACCGATTTTGTTCCAAGCCTTCAGGAAGTGCATTAAAGCCCTTAAGAAGCCCCTGAAAAGTTGCTTTACTATGTGAACTATATACATATTCATGATTAATTAAGGAGCAATATTTACACCCAAAACACACCGAAACATTGGCAGCCTGCAGCTAGCTGGCATGCTTTGCCTGTTTAAAACGCTCAGCGAGCTGCAATTTTGTGTCTGCAGTAAAGTGCGGTCATTTTTAGTAATAATGCTGGCTAAACCATAAGGGGAGCCAATGTGGAATTGCCTCAAATTTGCATTATCCTTAACAGACAGCAGGGGGCACCTCTACTGGTTGCAAAAAGAGGTCCAGTAGTGTAGAAGTCTGAGAAAATGAACCTTCTAATTCGATTTAGTACACCAGTCAACATTTCTTTTCAAGTAAATTATCTTAAATGCTAGTTCCAAGTATTTGTAATTAAGGCATGATTTTCCTATGTAAATGATGGACTCATTTAGGGTAAAATTGACGATAAAGCAGTGTATGCCTCAGGGAACACCTTGTGATTGAGAAATCACTACCAGGGTGTAGTCCGTTGGGGTGTCCTTTTTTGACTTAGACAATGAAACCTTTTTACTGTGTTTTCAGTTCATGAAAGTGAATTCTTACATTTTCTAACAGCTCCACCCTTTTGGGTCATGTTTGTTTCCTAAACAAAAACAACATGACAAAGGCCAAAAACAAAGATAGCCAAAATATAATCCCAAGGCTCCAAACAGTAGGCCACAAAACAATTGGCGATGTCACAGTAACTCTTTCTAAAATGAGCCTATCGATGTTATCCTTCTTTGTCACTACGAGAGACTTTCACATTAGTCAAGGTCAACTAATCCATGCAGATATTATACATATTGATAAGTTCAGCATTAAGGTTAAGTAAGTATTATTAAGGCTTCAATACCCCAAACCCATGGAATTTGTTTTGACTCTAGGCTGGTAAGTGAAGTAGAAATAAAGAATCGAAGAAATCACCTTTCTCTGACTAAAGACATATTTCACACTGGCAAGAAGAGCTTAACAAAATGATACAAACAGGAATCTCTTGAGAGAAACTGGTCTAAAATAAATTACGGTCATGGAGGCGGCAAATCATAACTGCCATAAATCTACATTCATTGTTTCTGTATCATTTAGTGTGATCATATTTCTTTTTTTCATGATGTAAGGTATTGACACAAACAGATTGGTGGTGCTGTGATGTTTTGTTGTATCACTGCATTTGGTCCAACAAGTGAATAGCTGGAAGGGAGAGGAGACTTCTGACATTTCCCTGCACTCGAGCAGCAGGCAACACAGGCCTTTTGATACCACAGTGACGTGTTGGACCACACAACACCACACTACTGTAGTGTGTATTTATTATTTGGTGTTGTTACACCTCCTGCTAAGTGGAGACCCCCTTCAGCAAATAGTGTGAAAATGTTATTGATTGAAGTCACCAACTTCCCAAATGTATTGCTTACAAAATCAAGAATATTTATTATATTTATTTGAAATCAGTTTGAATATACAAATAAGGTACTTATCATTCAATCAATCATTTAATATACTGTAACTTGAATAGATTTCCAGAAAATAAATCTGAAAATTGGATAATGCAAGGTTCAACATTTGAACGGGCCTTATTGCGCTTTTTGGGGTTTTTCCCTAATCTGTAGTGTGTTATAGGTTTTTGTGCATGTGGTCTGCAAAGACTGAAATCCTGAAACGCCTCCATTGGACTGCTTTGTTTACTTCCGTTACAAAGTGACATCTGTAACACTTGCACTTCTATTGACTTGTTCTCCAACACATTGCATGTGATATGCTAGGGGGCGGGACATATCCAACAAATCTCTAAGTGGTTGACCAATCACAACAGAGCCTGCCAGCTAACCAATCAGAGCAGAGTGGGCTCTGGTTTGAGAAAAACAACGACCTTTTTGGACATTAACGCATGGAAACTATCACAATAGAGGCATAACATACAAATATGAACGAATACATTTGAAAAAGATATCCTCTTTAAATTAGTTTTTGCAGAGGGAAATTTGATTATCTCTTTTAAAAGCTCCATCAGTCGCAGTTAGGTTAAAGGCTAACGTGAAAATGGAGTACTGATGATCAAGGTCATAGGATTTATGGAATTAATATTGAGAAAGACCTCACAAGAATAATAATGTCGGTGTAGGAGTTTGTGGGTCTTTATGCAACACTGTGTTTTTGTTTGTGTTCTCACACTGGTGTTTGTAAGAGAAAGCTCAAGGCCCAGTGTGTTGGATAATGGGACATGACTCTGTGTTTGTGCCTGCCAGTCCCAAACTCAGCAGGAAGTCCTGTCCAACTGGAGGAACATTTAACCGTTCAGCATAGACCTAATTCATCTAAAAAAGTTAAAAAATAAACATAGAGACAAAATAGAGGCAATGCATCGCCCCTGAATATGTGCCCATCGCCTAAAGATCCCTGTTTAGGCGATCATTGGCCTGCGGTGCGCTTCATCGATTTGTTTGCTGTTGGAATGCGAGCGATGGATGAATTGTGCTGAACCAGCGTTTCTTTCAGCTTTTCTATTAGGCGGATATTTTGACACGGTGGATTGGAGGGTGGGGGGGTGGATCATTACCCATCTTAACCACAAATGGCCATAAACAGGGCGGGATGAGTCATTTACAGGCGCAATCTCATAACACATAAATCTTATTTTTATTGACAGAGGATAAACAATTTATTAGTACTCCCCCCCCCCAAAGCTCTATTTTTGTGATATTCACAAATAATAATACGTTTTAAGCAGCTCAACGTGCTTTAACAACATGGCACACATCACACATTTAAAAATAAAACAACAAATTCAGATGGTAAAACCTTAAACCTTAAAACCCTTAAAGGTGTAACAGTTTAAGGGACATAAGGAGGTACAAGGTATGATAATACAAATGAAATGCAATAAAATAAATATTGATCCCTCTGTTAAATAAAGGAAGACATAATACAAAATGATTAGATACAATAAAATATAAAACCTATAAAATACATCAATAAATAAAACCAAATAAAATAGTAATAATAAAAACGAAATAAATAATATGAATAATAAAGGAAAAAATATTAACACTAGAACCGCCAGAGATTTTGTATACCTAAAACCGCCACCTGGATCAAATTGACCCGCTATTAGAATGCATTGATTTTCAAGGTAAAATGTTCTTTTATGGAACAGTGAGTTTTGATCGCACAGGGATGAAACGTATACCAATATAATCTGTGGACTCTCAGGGCTCGACATTATAAATGGCCCGCTGGGCCGGAAGCATTATTTAGACACCGCGGCCAGCATAACGTACTTTCAACTCGCCCCACAGCTGTTTGCTGCGGAGTGCAGTGCGAGCAGTCTCCCGTGAGCGGGAGCACACTCCTTCACTACAGACTGTCTCTATCTCTCTCTCTCTCTCTCTCTCTCTCTCTCTCTCTCTCTCTCTCTCTCTCTCTCTCTCTCTCTCTCTCTCTATCTATCAATATATCTATCCATCTATCTGTCTCTCTCTCAATCTATCTCTTAATCTATAACTATCTATCAATATATCTATCCATCTCTCTCTCTCTCTCTCAATCTATCTCTCAATCTATAAGGAGGAACCACAGTAGACAAAAGGCGTTGCTATAGCAACATGTCATGTTTATATGAAAAGGGGTGGGGTCAATATGACCCGCTTGGCGGAAATAGGTATAAATGGCAATCTTTTGGGCGATTTCTTCAATCTGACTTCATATTGACCATTTTTAACAACATAGGGTGCTACATAACACACTTTCAGGAAAAGTCACGGACTGGGAGACTTTAATATTTTATTGAAAAAAAGTTACACACAATAAAAAACAGCTCTGGGTCAAATTGACCCGATTGGCGGTTCTAGTGTTAAAAGACCAACTTAAAAGGGAATGCCACTACTATAACTGTTAATAGCTAATATAAGTACAAATCTAAACATAAAGGAAGACATAAGACCAAATGAATACACAATAAAATATAAAAACCTATCAAATAAATAACTAAATTAAACAATTAAAAAACCCAAATAAGAAAGATATAATAAAAACTAAATAAATGATAAGCTTTAAAAAGGTCAAAAGATTAAAAGACTAACTTAAAAGAGAATGTCACTTGTAAAACTGTAAATAAAGAATATAAGTAAAAACCCATACAATAAATAACAAAGATTTAAACGCTAATAAAAAGCTTATCTAAAAAGATTTGTCTTTAGCTGTCGTTCAAAATGAGTTGGCCTCTCTGATATTTCCTGGTGGTGTGTTCCACAGTTCGGAGCGTAGTGGATAAAAGCTGCTTCCTGTTCCTCCTTTCACTCATCTTGTATGCTAACTCCTCTCCCCCATATCTTCTGGCCCTAAACAGAAACCTGAGCAACAACAAGATCTCCCTGCTGAGGAACGGCTCCTTCTACGGCTTGGCTGCTCTGGAAAAACTGTGAGTCCTTAAATCAAGCTATCTTTACTATTCCCCCCTCCCCAGAGTCCTAGTAGCTGTCATCACAGGAGCCCTATGTAGCGAGGAAAAGGCAAAAGGGTGACATGGTGGGGAATTACAGTAGGAAGTCTGCATTGCAGAAGGCTCGCCAATGATTTTCACCCTTCTGCCCTCGTACTTAGCCTCAATTTCCACAGTAAATGTCTTAAAAGGGATAATATATAGCATCATATAAAGGCCTAATGCAGTACACTATGACAGTTGGACTGGCTGCTGCCGAGTCCATGTCTATGAGTCAGACATTATATGCGCTGTCCTGGAGGGCTGTATGCGAACACAATGAAAAACTGAAACATTGACTATAATTTCAATTTGTTGACGTAACACATTTAAATAAAGTCAATGTTTCAGTTTTTCAGTGCTGCCTCATGATGAGCTCTATGATGGTTGTCTTTTCCCCGTTGCCTCCTGAACTCAACTATTGATTGCCTTCACCTCCATCCAGTACGATGATTACCGCTCTCCCACCGCTCTCCTACCATATGGTGACACTGACATCAGCTGATGAGGAGGAAATCACAGACGGCTGAAATCACAGCGAGGACGGCTTAATAACTCTCCACCTCTCCGTCAATCCACCTCAGATCCATGCATCACAACCTCTACACCAGCGGCTGCTTTGCATATCATTCCTGTCAGTTGATCTCCATCTCTCTGACTCTTTGACAGTTGGTTTCAGATTGTAATGTCAGTGGCGTCATTCTTCCAGTGTCACCGTGTCGCCGGCCGACCTACAGCGTGATGTCACCTGTCTCCCCGGGCTGTATTAGCAGGCTGGGAGTATCGGATTACATGTAACGGGATTACGCTATGAGGATACACAAAAAGGGAACTGTATTCCATTACAGTTAAATACAAAAATACTGTGACATTTCTAAAAGTTAGGGATTACTAGCGGGATTACAATGTGAACATATATTTTAAAATGAATACAAATACAAATTAAAATTAAAGATTAATAAATTATAGTTAGATGTACTGCCCGCAATTTCTTTTTGGTTTTCAATATAGGCTACTTCCATTATTTATTTTAAATATATTTTCTTGTACGTTGTTGGACACCTGATTTATTAACAAAATTACTGTGTTTGATTTTATTCATGTTTTAAACTCAGACAGCATTTGTAAACTACACTGAAACTTTGACATTAATTAAATGTATAATGACAACATACTGTATATCACATAACTGTATTAGGTTAGATTAAAGCAATAATATTAAGTTGAACATAATATATATTTAAGTAAATACTCTTCTGTAATTTAAGAGGACACATCTTCTACCCCAAACATCTTGGTTTCTTCTTTTCTAAGGTCACATCGTATGTTATGTTACATAATATCCTTAAGTCAAAACATCTTATTGTATTTATTTGAGTGGCATTTGATATTAAGGTAACCAAAAAGTAGTGGAAAGTAATCAGGTTACATTTCTTTTATATTGTGATACAAATTAGGTCACTGATTCCATTTTTCAACATGTTATTAGTAATTATAACGGATTACATTATTAAAGTAACCCTCCCAACCCTTGCAGTGGCCTCATTCTTCCAGTCGTTTTTGGGTAACTGTGTCGCCGGTCGCCCTGCAGGGTGATGTCTCCTGTCTCCCCGGGCCTTATTAGTGCCATTGAACCTCTCTACCGTCCCCTGTCCCCCACCTCAGTGTTGGAAGGATGATTGCGAGGCGTTTGAGGACACTCTGCCAAAGGTTTGTCAAGGCTGACCTCTTCCAGCAGCACGTTGCGTGCCCGATCCTTCACCTCGCTGTCTGGGTACAGCCTGTCCATCCGTCCCGCCACAGGCAGCATTTGGCACAGATGTGTGTGTGTCGCTAGCTCTTGATGCCAAGGCAGGTAGCCTCAGTGAGTTGAAAGTGGCGGCCAGCTGTTCCCTCGTCTGGCCCGGCTGTTTCACCGCCTGCAAACCGGCCCGGCTGGCTGACTGACCGGATCTGAGGGTGGTGGTAAATTGGCAACTGATTGACAAGCTTAATTACCCGTGTGTGTGTGTGTGTGTGTTTGTGTTTGCACCACTCGTGCTACAGCTGTGGACCCTCTGAAAACAAAGTAATCGAAGTTTTTTCTTTGCATGGTATACAATTAGGGTGTGTTCATTAAAGTTTTCCTAAATTCCACAACATATTTTATTAATCCTTACTGGTGGTACCTAGCCACGCGGATCCTTTTGGGGTAATTTGTCCTGGCTTTGGGAAATGCTTCAGTCTCCACCTAAAATCAACAAGTATATTTTTTAACCCATTTTCAAATACTGCAAATTGGTCTACACGGGCGCCTCATGTTCCCCTCTAGCATCAGTTTTCAGGGCTGCCCCTAGTGGAGTAATTATGACAGAAGTAAAGGAGAGAGTCAGGTGACCGTATTTTACAGAGAGAAAAAGTCCACATTAACCTGTTAAGCCCGAGAGACCCTGGTACCGGGGCACTGCCGCAACATCTTGCAGGAAACAGTGTCTGAGGGTATGTTCATTTAATAAAACTATGAATGTTTTATATCCATGTAACGGGAAGAAACTCATCTAACTGATCTTTTTTTTTTTTTTTCAAAAGAAAACCCACAATGCTAACACTAAGCCTCTGAATTAGCAACGAGCGAAAAATGCTAACACCTTACTGCACCGAAAATCACTCACAAAACCTTATTATTTATCTTTTCACCACATCCAACACATTGATTCACATCGTGAGGTGACACAGAATCTATTGCCACTGACATTACCACTGAATTATACGTATTTGCGACGTTATAAGCAAAAACGGACATCAAAACAGGTGACGCTAGGTAGCTAAAAATGCTAACATTTTTACCTTGGCTCTGTAGTCTCTCCAAAGTGGTCTTCAATGGCATTAAAACGATAAAAACGCTGCTGAAGTTAATCCATAGGTTAATCTAATGTGTCCCTTTGAAATGATTTCTGATAATCCATAAGCATTAAAACTGCTTTTCCGTTTCCAGATGTCAAAACTAGAGATAGGTTCACTCTGATTGAAAATTACATGTGCGAAGCCCCCACCTTTTCTCTTCACAACGTGTGTGTGTGGGGGACTCCCCCTTCAATTCTATTGGCTCTAACGGTCAGAAAGAGGTGTCAACCATCAAAATCGAGCAAGGGGGGCCAGAGATATGGAAAATCCACCCAAATGACCCCAGAAGTGGTTTATTTTTGCTAAATCTCTCTAAAAAGGTCAAATGTCACTTGTTTTGCATCAATCTTGATACAGGGTACTTATTATATGTTGTACTTTGGATTCCTAAAGCTTTTAGTCTACTAACCCATCATCCAAGGGTGGTTTTCACTATAAGTAATGGGTTTTTTTTGGACGGAAACTATAATTTAAATTTTTTTACTATGTTCAATCTGAATTTACTTTAAAATAATAATAATAATAATAATTCTATATTGATTCTGACTTTTCTACATCCAACTCACAGGTTTATCATTGCTTTGAGAAAAAAGATTATTAATTTACCCCTTTTAGAAGTGAAGATATAGTAATTTGTTCTGGGAATGTCATTTTCGAGCCTGAGACCTGAAAAACAGGCCTGGGGCTTAACTGGTTAATGGAGGGTCCCTGTATGTTGCATGATGGCCTGCATCCCTCCATATGGACACAAGCCCATTACCATCAGCCAAACTGGGTTCCATGGGAGCAGAGCAGGAACAAAGCCCACCTCTGTTCTCCGGTCAGGACACTGATATAGCGTTTACTTCTTCATCATGAGTTCCCACCGCAGTGTGAAGACTGTGAGAAACGGATGAGGCTGGCATCTTTTTCATACTGATTACACTGCATCAAATCTGACACTGTGCTATGATTATGTTGTTATGAAGTAGAGCTGCACTTTTCACACGTAGGATTAAATAAAGAAGTTTGATTTTAGTGATACACAATACAATAACAACTTTAAACAACAAAAGTCAGAATGATATATTGTCATAAGGATACAGCGTTTTAGGTAGTCAAACTTGAAATAGCCACACTTCTGTTAGCTATATGCATATTGCTTTTTTCCTTCGAGTTTTGGTTATTTTGGTTATTTTCTCAGGACATTGTTACTGTATGTGAGATTATTAGATGATTATTATATTGTTGTATCAAGCAGCATTTTACTGTTGTAGAGAAACAATGTGATACACACATTATTACTGTTAAGAACCTTTGGCAATATAGTGTATCATTGTACTGTTTTGTAACTTTTTTTAGGGATGCATTATGTCAAAGGTTTATCACATATTTTTAAATGCAAAATCTGTATTTGAAAAGTAACTAAGGCTTTTACATTTTTTTAAAGGAATACAATTATATTAGTTATCTTTTAATTGTATTGGAGTAAAAGTTTGAAGTAGCATTACATGGTAATGCTCAAGTAAAGTACATCTACTTCAGTATGTACATTAGTACAGTACTTGAGTAAATGTACTCTGTTACTTTCCACCACTGACAACATATTGAGGGCAGCGGGTTTATAATTTTTTCTCTATTTGACCAAACAATATTTATGTAGCCTAAGGACTGAGTGGCCCAGAGACAGCATCAGAATTCAGAATGGCGTCTGCAATCGCTCATTCTGAAGAGGAGACGTTAGAGGTGTGCGGCGGCGTCCTTTAAAACGTTTGTGCAACTGCTGTTGTTCCATTCATTCAGGCGATGTTTATTCACACTTCCTTGCAAATGCGTCTCCTTGGGGGGTGATTGATGAGGGCGGGGTTCACCGCTGAAGGATGCGTCCTCTGGCTTGTTGGGCATACGAATGTGTGGCAGACTCTGAGAGCTAAGTACATGGTAGGGAAAATATCTCAATGATCACGTGAACATAAACCAAATTGATCCTGAGGTTATAGTTAGCGGGTCAAAGGTTAGAGGTGATTAACAGGGACAGCAGAAAGAATATTAATATTGATCCAGGAATCAATAATATT